AGCCAAGGCCAATATGGCGGCGCCTTTAGTTCGCAGCAGCTGACCGTGTAGTGTATAGACTATTACTCATTTGTGCCAGTGTTCCACGCTATTTTGTTTGTTTTTGTCAGTGTTTAATGTAAATGTTGTTTGTCAGAGTTAAATATTTATAATGTGAAAAAAAAAAAAACACTTTTACCGTGGTTTCATAAAAGCACACAAATTTTTTTAATTTTTTTTAATAATTCTAATTAGTTAATTTGCCCGATCAAAGATCGCTAGCGAATGCGGGGCACGTCAGTATTTACGGTGAGCTTAGTAAATGAATCTTTTTCGTTTACGTTACGATAATAGTTTAATTCCGTTGCGAGATCTTCTTGCATTCTGCACAACTTTTAACTTTCAACTAAATAGAGTTTATTTTTTGTTTAGGTGTTAGAGAAAGTGATCGAGCACTGCGGAGCTAAACCAGCGGATCGCACGATGTGGACGCGCATGCAACGCCTCCGAGAGAACACGAAGCATCTCTTCCTGTACGTGATAGACGACAAGAACATCGCCCGCATGCTGGACACGCACACCATAGACCAGATCGTCAAACATATACTCGCCCAAGTCAGCGACACCGACAAATGATTATGTTCGACTTCAACAGTGTGCCCCTTAACTTATTGAAGTCGATGGAGAATCCGCGGCATTGTCATACAGTACACGCGCGTGTCCCGTGGTAGGACCTCTTGTGAGCCCGCGCGGGAACACTATCAATCGATGGGTTGTGACTTCAATAGAGCGATTTAGGTTGAAATAACGAATTATTTCAATTTGCATTTTGCTTATAAATTTGAGTATAGTAACACATTTATTTTATGCAGTTGTATATCACGTAACAAAACGTGATATGTGAAGTTATATCATATTATTATGTACTTTAGCTCGGTAATTTATTAAAAGCGGCATAATATACTTGAGTTGGTGCTTCCCATATTTAGAGAGTAGGTATAGTATCAAAGAACAATGGCAGAAATGTATGGGACAATTGTACCACTATAAAGTTTCATGTTTTTTCATGTTTTCAGGTTTATTTATTTGATAGATAATATTTAGATTGTCGAATATAATTTTAATTATCAGATTTTTAGAACTTTGCAAACATAGCTATTGTGCCTTCATACGTAGTGAATTTTTAACGGGAACGCAGAAATGTCATGTGACCGCTCTTAAATTATATTCAATATTTTAATGTTATGTGGTGTTATATTAAATGATTTTGTTAGCATTTTATGTAATTTACTTTAGTCAAAAACTCAACCACACACATAATTTCAATACCTACAATGTACACACCAGTACACAGAACTGTTAACGCTAGCACCATAGATTAAACACTTAATATTTTTTTTAAACAGTCGAACCGGTGTACGATTTTTTTTGTCGATTCATAAGTTTGGACAGGCAAAGGATACACAGCCCATACAGCCAAGCCTTCCAATTATTTTTTAGTAAAAAGTCATTTTTATTAAATCTATACTGCTGTAGAGGTAATTTTTGTCTGTCTGTACAGTATCGATTGCATTCCGTTTAGTAAAGCAGTTTTTCCTAACACATGCCAAGTTTCCAAAACTTATAATGCGTTTTGTTATCAATGATCAACGTTTAGTTGCTATCTTTTTTTCAAATATGTTTTGTTTTTTGTTTTTACAGAGTTTTAAAAATATAATAAATACACGAAAATATTTGGATTGTTACCCTTCACAAATCAGAGAACTCTTATAAGGAAACAAAATAATAGTGGTACAAAAACTGCCGTTCATCTTTCACGATATCCCAGAAAAGTTTTTTTTTGATTAATTTTACTACGAAAATCTTATACGGTTTTAGAACATACTTCATGGGTATGATAAAATACAAGCATAAATAAAATTAAATTTCGGTTTTATGAGAAAATCGGATCTAATTTAATTTGTGAGATGTGATAATTGACACCTCTCGTTTCCATTTAGGCATATAATTATATTTAGTGATCAGACTTGGTGCCTATACTTTAGACAAAAATAAATGTTTTCTGGTTAAAAAAGTCAGTTTTATTTTAAATATGGACGAATGTTCTAAATTTAAAAAAGGAAAATTTGGAATTCGAATTCATTGACATTGCGTGTGCGAAGTGTAAATGGCTACCGTAATTACATACAAAGTTCGTTCATAACGTTTGCCTATGTTTACCAACGTAAAGCAACGTACGTTGTACATTAGGAGGAGGAGTAATATCGGTTTTGCCGCGTATCGAATCGTATCTATATATCGAGGATCAATATCGGATATTGAATCTATGTATATATTTTCTGAATCTATATATTGATGGATGCTAGTAGATTTTCTCGATTCATGATATTTGAGATTTGAAACGATACGCTGATATAATATCGTAGTAGATATAGATTTAAGTCAACGTTATACGGTTGGTTTTCTGATATCAATTTATAATATGATCTTAAAGTAATAAAAAGAACATGAAAATAAAAATATCAAAAAAAACTTTCCTTCATGCTTTTACCAGGCTTAGGACTGGCTACATTATTTTCAGTTTTTAGTATTTTGTGTCTTAATTTAAAATTACAAAATATACCAAAAGAGTGTAGATTTCAAAAGTTTAATACAAACACAAGAAATAAACTCAATTATTTGGATTCAACTAAAAATAGAAAAATGTGTACTTTAAAAATCAAACACAAAAAACTTTTAAGTATTTATAAACACTTGTCCAAAAATTCTAGTTCAAGGTCAAAGCGCGTGAAATTAAATTCAACGATGCAAATAGGCTATACTGCATTCAAGTTAGGGTCGAAAGTTGAAACTTCTTTCCTTAATTGTATCCTGCTGATACGCTAAGAATAATCTACAGACATATGGACTTAAATATAAGGTTTACAATTGTATGGATAATGCCTGTTTCTGTTTCATTCATCACATGATATCCCTATCGTGCGCTCACTCACTCTGGCCGATTCGATACGAACCAAACGAATATTGCTGATATNTATGTGTGTCAAGTTTCAAATCAATCCGATGTTTTGTAGGTAGTGAAAAATCATGTTTAAATATTCCATTACACAGATACATCCCGAGCTAATAAATCAAGTTTGCAATTTGCAAAAAGAGTTTGCTATGAAAATTTGTTTCTGTGGTCGTTTTAATTTCGTGAGTTGTTTTAAAACACAATTTATGATTATATCGAGTGAAATGCTATTTGGTTTGGTTTAAGCAACTACATATAAGACGGATCTCTTGGCTCGCCTTTAATATATTCTATCAACATTGTGTTTAGTAAAATTTGTTTCTAGACGCAAAACGATAATGGACCTTTGATGACAGAAGAGGAGCTTTTGGACAACTTAGGGAAAATGCTGTTCAAACTGATTGATTCAGACACACTCGAGTGTTTCGGTTGGCCCGACGAGCCAGTTGATGTGGTGAGTCTTTTAACAAATATTTAAGTAAAAGTGAAGTGGTTAACTATGATTACATCGTCTCAAACTTTTTCGTCTGTGTGTTGCATGTCGCGTGACGGTCAGCCGCGGATTAGGGATAAAGTGAAAGACGCTCGTCAGAGCAGCCAAGGCCAATATGGCGGCGCCTATAGTTCGCAGCAGCTGACCGTGTAGTGTATAGACTATTACTCATTTGTGCCAGTGCTCCACGCTATTTTGTTTGTTTTTGTCAGTGTTTAATGTAAATTTTGTTTGTCAGAGTTAAATGTCTATAATAATAATGTGAAAAAAAGTTTCACTTTTACCGTGGTTTCATAAAACCACACAATCCTTTTTATTATTAATTTTTTTAATAATTCAAATTAGTTGATTTGCCCGATCAAAGATCGCTAGCGAACGCGGGGTATGTCAGTATTTACGGTGAGCTTGGTAAATGAATCTTTTTCATTCATGTTACGATAATAGTTTAATTCCGTTGCGGCATCTTTCATTCTGCACAACTTTTAACTTTCAACTAAATAGAGTTTATTTTTTGTTTAGGTGTTAGAGAAAGTGATCGAGCACTGCGGAGCTAAACCAGCGGATCGCACGATGTGGACGCGCATGCAACGCCTCCGAGAGAACACGAAGCATCTCTTCCTGTACGTGATAGACGACAAGAACATCGCCCGCATGCTGGACACGCACACCATAGACCAGATCGTCAAACATATACTCGCCCAAGTCAGCGACACCGACAAATGATTATGTTCGACTTCAACAGTGTGCCCCTTAACTTATTGAAGTCGATGGAGAATCCGCGGCATTGTCATACAGTACACGCGCGTGTCCCGTGGTAGGACCTCTTGTGAGTCCGCGCGGGAACACTATCAATCGATGGGTTGTGACTTCAATAGAGCGCTTTAGGTTGAAATAACGAATTATTTCAATTTGCATTTTGCTTATAAATATGAGTATAGTAACACATTTATTTTATGCAGTTGTATATCATATAACAAAACGTGATGAATATGTGAAGTGATATCATATTATTATGTAGTTTAGCTCGGTAATTTATTAAAAGCGGCATAATATACTTGAGTTGGTGCTTTCCATATTTAGAGAGTAGGTATAGTATCAAAGAACAATGGCAGAAATGTATGGGACAATTGTACCACTATAAAGTTTCATGTTTTTTCATATAGGTTTATTTATTTGATAGATAATATTTAAATTGTCGAATATAATTTTAATTATCAGATTTTTAGAACTTTGCAAACATAGCTATTGTGCCTTCATACGTAGTGAGTTTTTAACGGGAACGCAGAAATGTCATGTGGCCGCTCTTAAATTATATTCAATATTTTAATGTTTTGTGGTGTTATATTAAATGATTTTGTTAGCATTTTATGTAATTTACTTTAGTCAAAAACTCAACCATACACATAATTTCAATACGTACAATGTACACACCAGTACACAGAACTGTTAACGCTAGAACTATATTTTTTTAAAACAGTGGAACCGGCATACGATTTTTTTTGTCCATTCATCCGTTTGGACTGGCAAAGGATACACAGCCCATACAGCCAAGCCTTCCAATTAGCTTTTAGCAAAAAGTCATTTTCATTAAATCTATACTGCTGTAGACGTATTTTTTGTCTGTCTGTACAGTATCGATTGCATTCCGTTTAGTAAAGCAGTTTTTCCTAACACATGGCAAGTTTCAAAAACTTATAATGCGTTTTGTTATCAATGATCAACGTTTAGTTGCTATCTTATTTACAAATATTTATTTTTGTTTTTACAGAGTTTTAAAAATATAATAAATACACGAAAATATTTGGATTATTAAATATACCCTTTACAAATCAGACAACTTTTATAAGGAAACAAAAACTGTCGTTCATCTTTCACGATATCCCAGAAAACTTTTTTTTAATAAATTTTACTACGAAAATTTTACACGGTTTTAGAACATACTTCACGGGTATGATAAAATACAAGCATAAGTAAAATTAAATCTCGGTTTCATGAAAAAATCGGATCTAATTTTATTTGTGTGATGTGATAATAATAATTGACACCTCTGGTTTTTATTTTGGCATATCGGAGTAATTGTATTTAGTGATCAGACTTTGTGCCTTTACTTTAGACAAAAATAAATGTGTTCTAATTAAAAAAGACAGTTTTATTTTATATAACTGGATTCTAAATTTTAAAAAAGAAAATTTGGAATGGTTCGAATTCAGTGACATTGCGTGTGCGAAGTGTAAATGGCTACCGTAATCACAAAGTTCGTTCATAACGTTTGCCTATGTTTACCAACGTAAAGCAACGTACGCTGTACATGCTGTTTTATTGTCTCTTCTTTATCCTTATTAGGTTTTCCATTACTTTGGGTTAGGTAAAATTTCAAGGTTAATTTGCATTTTTGAAGTAATACGTTTTATTTAAATACAAAATTTGAAGCAACTTTAGTGTAAATGGAATAATATATTAATAATAATTATAACAATGATGATTAATATATTTATAATAAAATAAAAAACTCGTGATAGAATGTATTTACACGCCATGAGGTTATTGCTCTTACTGGTGCTAAGGCGAAATGCGAGTCTGCACATGTACGTACCACTGTTCCGACTATTATTGCATTTATTTTATTTATTTATTTTTTAATGGAGGGAGAGTAGTTATACAAGTCTCAAGGCACGTGACAACATTCACTTTGTGGTGTAAATGATTTCCGGTACCAACGTTAAGTACCTAAGCGTGTGCAGATATAGAGTACAATAACTACATAATATAAAACAAAGTCGCTTTCTCTGTCCCTATGTATGCTTAAATCTTTAAAACTACGCAACGGATTTTGATGCGCTTTTTTTTAATAGATAGAGTGATTGAAGAGGAAGTTTTATATGTATAATAGCATCCATTAAATAGTGGAGAAATGCTGTTATTTTTGAGGTTTCTAATGTGATGTCGTAAATAATCAGTAATAAAATTTCATGTTTCCGAAGCGAAGCGAGGGCGGGTCGCTAGTAAATAATAATAGGCCATGAACGAACTCGCGCGGCGCTGAGCAGATTGCGGATTCTAGTAATTGTAGCTTTTTAAACCATTGTAAAAACATGTAAAGTATTCCTTAAGATTATCTTATTAAGTAATAAAAGTCAAATATTTTTATTTATTTATTAGTAGGTATACATTTCAATTGGTATGGCGAACATCAATACTAATAGTACCGAAATATAGACTTACTCATCTAAACATCAAAGAGGTAAAATCCCTAAAAATATATTTATCCAAATAAATAATGATAACAATTAAAAACATACAATGTAAATAAAATAAAAAACTTAATAGTATAAACAAATGTAAATGCAATGTAAACAAATATAGTATCTGTCACTGGAAAACTAAAGAAAACAAGTGTTACCATTTTTTCTTACAAACTTGTCTGTAATAATTTGGCATGACTAATATTAAAATATTTTTTAAATCCACTAACATTTATGCACTACGTTATTATGATTATAGCAGAAATATGTTTGATATACAATAATAATGTGTTTGTTATGACATCTCAAAATTTCAAGTTGAAATCTAGTTTTATCCTCTAGCTATGAATTTCAATGGTTTCTCTGAGTATAATGGAGATTCTTAATAGTAATTCACATAAATTTGTGGCTTATGCCCGTTAAGATCTTATGTAGTTATATTCTGTGGATTTTCAGTAGGCATATTATTTACCACAGTTTACGTATATTTGTAAAATTTATTTTATTTATAAATATTGTAGGTAAATGTATTGAAGGAATAAATACAGAGATAAATAAAAAAGCAGCAGAAACTATTAATTTCCGTCAAAAAAGTATCGTATCATTATTAAAAACAGTATCCTGGAACATTTAAAATATCATTAACGTACGTTGTGCATTTAGTTACCTACGTAAAAATGCACAATGCATGCAATGTATAAAATGAGCACTTTATAATTGTGTAAATAATCATGTCATCGACGAACATACATACGATAAAATAGTAATGTTTCGAGAAATCTACAATAATATTTATATTATTTAAAACAACATTCAGACACCAGTGTTCGGTTTGTTATCCTCTAAAATACGGAGTGTATCCAATCGAAAAGAGCTGTTTAAGATCCGGTTAAGTATTGCCTGCAATCTTGACCCTTGGGATCTTTTGTGAATATTATAATTGTTGATGGTGACGAATTCAAAAGAAGTTATCTATATTATAAAATATACCATGAAAAATAGACATGCCCATTTTCTGCAAGCTCTCTGACTTGTCTTGAGGTAAAAATGTATTTATAACCTGCAAAACTCAAAATGGGGGTAGTTGAGATTTTGATTAATGTTTCTCAATGTGTGTGTAACGGGTACATATCTTTGAATTCATCTTCCCAGTTCTTAAGCAAGTCCTCCAAATTTCTTTAAAAATAAGCCTGTAACGACTAAGTTGTCTCATCCTCAGTTCTATGAACCTATTTACGAATAAGTTTTAATACGTAAACCCGTTAAGGTTTTAACATACACGCGTGTTTAGCCAATATCAATACTTAATCTTTAGGTTTATTATACAATGGTATCATGACGTCACACGTTGATTTCGACACAGATCCGTTTATCAGTAATGTTTAAATAAATTATTGATAACTGTAACTGAGCATATTGTGTATATTGCAGTATGTACTATAACGGTGTTGATGCTATCACCGGTCTTGATTCTAGTATTCATCATATGGAATCTGTGTCATATGTTATAATGATTTTGTTTTTATTATTATAATAAAGTTGTTTTCATAAAACACCTAAGCCAAAAAGAGGTAAAATTATTATTTAACTTTTTTCTTATTCATTTCTAATGCATTTTTACTTTATAGCTAATATTGAAAACATAGTTGCTTTCATTATACACAACCAGTTTGTGGACTAAAAAACTTATCGCACTTGTTAAAAAATAAAGTAGGAAAGAAAAGTTTCTTATTATGGTGTATTTTGCGTTTTGTATCTGGAATCTAAATGTTGTCTTAATCGTTAGAATAATTGCAATAGTTGCAATAATAAATTCGTAACTAATACTAATTTAATAATAATTCATGTCTCCCGATAACATGTCAGACTCTTCAGATTCTTCAGCCATTGCACTTCCATCAAAATTCTGAAATATTCGTGACACTAATTAAAATTCAAACCCCTGATGTCATAAATGAAATTCATATGAAATGCTTATGTACAAAAAAAAAAAAAAAAAACTAAAGCATCTTATTCAATTGAAACAAAAAGTTTACATTTGAGCTGTTAATTATAAAAAAATATTTACCGTTTCGTCAGTGATGCCCGGGTTACAATGCTCGGTCTGAAAAACAAAAACCAAACATCACATGACTTCTCTTATCAACACAGCAACAACGCATAGCTACATATATTTATAACTACAGTGTGGGTTATTTAATATTGCATTTACATATTTTTTTTGCTGCAAACTTATGTAAGATCATAGTGAGCTAGAAAGTTCTGATATGCTAATAATTACACAGAAACTAAGAATTATTCATTTGTACTTAGCCTTGCCTCCTATACTAAACGCAGGGAGACGAAACTAATCCATGCTAGCACGTACACAAATATGTTTAATCATCATTGATCTAAGCCAGCGGTCGGGGAACTTTTTTAATTATTACCCCAAAATATTTTTGTGTAAGTTGATATTACCCCATGGCGAAGAACAAAAATAAACGAAATCGCTTCTTTTTAATATCTTTCATATTATAGACCCCATGATAATTTTGAAAAGAAAACAACAACTAAAAATTTTACGATTCTAAAGAAGTTTCACTTCTATATTTTTTTTTACTCACAAAAGTTTCATTTTTACCCCCCAAAATTTCATTTTACCCCATTTAGGGTAATTTACCCCGGTTCCCCGACCGCTGATCTAAGCAAATTAAATAATGAATAAAAACAATTCGCAGTGCAAAGGTCAAATTCAAACATATCAATAAGGCTAAGCTTTAAAATTTTATAAAGGCTTTGTTATTACAACAGAAATAGCCGGAGCCGAGATACAAATAGGATTCCATTCAAAGACTGGAGTGGTTTTAACGCTAACTCATGATTACATGCCAGAAAAAAATAGTACCTGTTGGACAGGATATGACTAACAGCACAGTTGCACTAGCGATAAGTGCGTCTTATCTGTGTTAGTCCAGGAGTTCATGAAAAAAAATAACGCTTCATTTTATTGCCATAACAGTTCACATATATTTATCAAGTGGACTTTTTTTTTTATTACTTAGATGTGTGGATGAGCTCACAGCCCACCTCGTGTTAAGTTGTTACTGGAGCCCATAGACATCTACAACGTAAATGCGCCACACACCTTGTGATATAAGTTCTAAGGTCTCAGTATAGTTACAACGGCTGCCCCACCTTTCAAACCGAAACGCATTACTGCTTCACGGCAGAAATAGGCAGGGCGGTGGTACCTAACCGTGCGGACTCACAAGAGGTCCTACCACCAGCACCTAATATGTTAGATAGAACTACTTTTTTAAATTAGTAATTAAACCTAAATTATATTTTTTTTAGTTGTTGAATTAAAAGAACGGACAGCCTGATGGACACCAGCAATGTTAGGGCCAGCCTTTTCCTACTTTCAACTACTTTTTAGATTTAATTTGAAATTTTATTTCCGGCAGCCATAATGATTTTCAAAAAGGCATATGAAAAATGAGATTGAAAATTTATTGATCAATTCTGACCATGTGAGTGCAGTTAAGTGAGTCTATTTTGTCGGGAGATGTGTTGAGACACCTAAGGACCTGGAACTTATTATGTACTAAGATGGATGACACCTTTGTTCCTGTAATTATAGAATCCAGTAATTATTTAAAACCAATTCGCTAGTTAGTTGAGCTATCATCTAAACCGAATGAACAGATACGCACCACAACTTCGACGAGCAGCACAAGTACTTCATTCAATTTAGTGTTCTTTTTAGTTATTTGCCCCACGCGATGATTCAAGTCGTCTGTGTCTTTTATCATTTTCATGATTTTGTTTTTGTTATGCTGGAATCTGATACAAAAAAAAAAAAACTGACATTCAAAATTTAAACATATAAACAAACAAAATAAATAATACTTTAAAAAAAAACTAAAAATTTAAATTTATTAATTAATTTATTTATTTTTTAGTTGAATTTTATATAAAGCGTGTTTTTTAGTTTTTTTTAACTATTATTTATTTTTCATTTTTTAATTGAATTCCAATTTTTTCAATTTTTTTTTTCATTTTTTTTTTAAATATTGAGTTGTCATCGATCCTCGATAAATTTACAAAGTTTGAATGAAATCTGGCCGTTTAAAGTGGGTCAAAATCGCATCTAAAGGAGTCAGTTACAAACATACAAATATACAACCATACATAAAGGTGAAGCTAATATAAAGCGTGTAAAAATGGATTTTCTGTAAAATCGGTTTATGGACGATATTTTTGCGTGATAACATCAGTAGCAGAACTATTAACATAGTTAATACACGTATTATGATTTAATAGAACTATTCGTATTGCTAGCGCTGACGTCACGCGAGAAGAGACATAAATGTGTCACAAGCCAACGCTTGAGCCGATCGCGCCCCTCTCGCTTGCATGTTCGGGCTTAGGCGGAACATTACATTTTTTCGTGCGTGCATTTCATTTTCATCGATTTTACCATTAGACACAGTCCACTGAGTTTCTCGCCGGATCTTCTCAGCGGATCGCGTTTCTGATCCGGTGGTAGATTCTGCGAAGCACTGCTCTTGCTAGGGCCAATGTTAACATCACTCCGGTTTGAGCCCCTGAGCTCATGTACTAGTTAAGGTTACGCTGAAATAGCCTCTCAAGGCTATCAGCATTGGTAGGCATAGGTAAAAAAATAAAAAAAATAAAAAATCGATTTAAAAATCGTTACACGTCAAAAATTCATTCAAAACATGACATTTCATATTTCATTCAACACATTCAAAATTCATTCGTTCAAATCATTTAACATTTCAAAATACAATCATTTTGATAAAAAATAACTACCATAAATTTTCTTCACACAAAAACACGTGTTACCTGAACTCGTTGACGTCACAGTTTCTGCATTTCTTGGATCCAGCCATTTCAGCGTACTCTGCGTACTCGTGCGTGGGTTGACTCACTGGGAAAACGAACCAAAAAAATTTAAATTCCACCATAGATTTAAACACCATTTATACACAAGTACCCTACAAGATATTATACACCAATAAAAAAACAATCAAAAAAGTATTTGTATGAAATTTAAATTAGTCTAGGCAGTCAGCCAAACTGCAACCGTTTTTAGCTGATTTTGAAAAAAGAAGGAGGTTCTGAGTTCGACTATAACACACTCATGTTACACATCAGATTTTTTTCTAAATGAATCCGTTTTTATGATTCTTTTTTTTTTGAGAGCTTCGTCTCATGATACCGTTTAAATTTTATCAAGACCCGACCAGTAATAGCTTTTGAGTGATCCTTTTTTTAGTCTTTTTTTTGTTATTGCTTTGTATTATTGGGAAATGTACTTAATATGTACAAGTATGTATAATTATTTGTCACGTTCTACAGCTTAAATTTTCTGACGGATTTCAACTATATGGTGTCTTTAGATTCGTGTTAGTAGTAAGGTTGTTTAACATGGTATTTATTAAGAAAATAAATCTGCAAAAATAAAAAATAGAATAATAATTATTCATTGCAATCTCTCATATTTATTTATTTATTTATTTATTACACTTCATGTAAAATTTACATTGGCGGACTTAATGCCTAAGGCATTCTCTACCAGTCAACCAAAGGTAGTGCAGAGTGGATAGTGGTAGGTGCAATGAAATTTATATTAAGTTAGAAAAAGTATATACATACATACACACACATATAATAGTTTATATAGTATTAAAAGGAATATATTAATAAATTTCCTTAACAAATAACTTCATCTTAATAAGTTCATGATGATTCCGCTAACTTTTCCAACAACATTCGCCGAACCCTTAACTTGAACGCTCGGTTCGTGCAACGGTTAGTATTAGTCCTGATCTCGAGAGGAAGTGCATTCCATAGCAGAACAGATTGCACGACGAAAGAGTAGTATAGTATTAGAGTCATATAGTACATGTAACTAAATTCTTTAGTTATAATCGGTCTATAATGAATGTTACTGATTAATAAATTAAAATTAAGGATCGTGCGTGAGAAGGTGATACAGAAGGGCGGTCACGACACTCAGCAGTGAAGGAATACAACGCAAGGAGGGGAAGGAGGATAATGGAGGATGAATGTTGCAATGAGTGTGTACCTGCGACACTGCGTCGCTTCACCGTCGTCTTCATAACCCAATCTATCCTTTACAGCAACCGTCGGTTCAAGGCGTGGAAGAGCCTCTGTCCACCACAGTTAACCAAAAGAGAAATTGGCAGTATTCTATGTGTCTAATATCCTTTACTACTTACCGGGTTCTTCCATTTCTGTCCACTGCCTCTTCGTAGGAGACATTACAGTGGCGTATGGATTTTGCACTATAGGCGTATTGGGCGGAGCGTTTGGGTAACCTGTGCTCGTACTGTAGACAATAAAATTCAAAGTTGCTACAAAAATGTATCATTTATAATCTGTGCTGCGAGGCTAAGGCTGTACACTAATGTTAAGTTTGAAATGCTTGAAAAAAGTAGATAAAGTTGTAGTGACAAACACAGCAATCATGCCTAAACCAGACGCCAAGATCTTTTGATCTAATAAAAGAAACTTTGTATACATTGTTGACATTCGTTGTAACAAGTTAAGCTTCTCGTTTTGAACTTTTTCTTCGATAGTATAGAGCATGCTTTATTGTTCACAAATTAGAATTAAAACAAATTAAAAACATGTTTAATGAACAGTTTTGTTCGGGTTTAATAGCGATGATTGTCTTCGTGTCAACTGAAAAGTTTGTTTCTCTACCTTCCAAATAGACTTTCATTGACGGCCAGTTACCTATATTACTGGAATATTAATAAAAAAATAATTAAAAAATCCTTCAACGTATGGTCAAATGGCGTTCAACTCACCTGTGAGGATAAGATGGATGCCCACTATAATATGCCATCTCGGGCGACGTTTCTGAAAAATAGATTTCCAAGTAATAATAAATAGTTTCATACTAAATAAATGCGAGATATTTTCGTTGTGAGCGAATCGAGAATCGAGTAAAGAGTACTTACTGTCTTCCATTTCCGGCCATTGCTTCTCGTATGGATTTTGCATCATGCTTATATTCGAAGCATTTGTGTACATCGGAACAGAAGTGGTGCTGTAGACAGAGAACGTTTTTATAATTTATGTTTTTTGGGTTTCGAAGGTTAAGCAAGTAAAAGTTTTGCCAAGGCAAGATAATATCATTGTTGCTGATGAAGGTTAATTGTTGATAATATTATTGTTGGTGTAGACTTGAAAATTATCCAGTTTTGTTTGCAGTCTAACCAGATTAGCAACAAGATTGTTAGCACATAACAATCGTGGGCGGTTTACCGTAGTATTTTAGTCATATTTTAAATTCGAGTATTCTGAGAGTAACGAGTCAAGTTACTTTTAGTTTTCAGTATAAATTCTTTGATTCTTTGAATCTAATCATTTTAATATAGCGTAAAACATACCTATGAGGGTATGTAGTGCCGGTATAATTCGCCGACAGCTCGGATGATGTTTCTGAAAGGGATTTTACGTAACAAGTCATAACAATTTTAAACCACTATTAAGGATATATCGTAAGTCGAAGTGGAAAGATATCCACCGATCTACTAGTAATGGCTGGGGAAGCCGTTCTATAATACAATACCTAATCGGGACCGTGACGTCACACTTCGACTTCGACATTGTGTCTTAAAGGAGGATGGCGGCATTCGTTCGAAGTGAATCAGGAAAAGTGAGGTGATCCTCACTCAGCGTACCTTTTTATTGCTTAGATTGGTGGACGACTTCGCAGCCCACCTGGTGTTAAGTGGTTACTGGAGCTAATAGACATCTACAACGTAAATGCGCCACCCACCTTGAGATATAAGTTCTAAGGTCTCAAATGTAGTATTTAGCGTGATCTAGGTTTTTTTTTCCAGGAAATCGAATTCGTCGAACCTACACACGAGACCATTCATAATAACTCTCGAGAACAAACGTTACGAAAACCGGTGACAGAGTGGAGGTGAGAGACAGTACAAAAACGGTGGACTTAATAGCCAACCGAGGAGATCCATGTCCACGCCCCCGACGTCTTCCCTTCGATCATGGCGGAACTGAATTGATCGGACTTCTAAAGAGCCTTAAGAATCGAGTTTTCCCCCGCCTTTAGAAGTTCAGTATTTATATTATAACCTAATATAGTACAGGGTTTTGTCCGGAATATCTTCGTTACCGTAATCACTCCTTTTGGTCATGAACGAGAACACTGCTGCTCATTCTTCGCTCAATCTTTTAGTCGTATTTTACGACGCCTCCCGGTATTACTGTGGTAATCCTATTCGAGATCACTTACAAAAGATACAAACACGCACAAACAGCAAACAATATTTTAGTGCTTATTTTCTAATTTGCTTTTTGAAATCGGAGGGTGAGTGACTTAGCATTTGACTTTTATTTGGTTCGCCATACGATCTATAGCGTAATTTAATTTTACCGGTAACGATTTTTTTAAAATACATGTTACCGGATAATATTTATGTTGTAAATCTAAATCTTAAAGTATCAGTAATATACTATTAGTATGTATATTAAAATAAAAATACCATCCACCACGATAGTATATAATTTTTTACCTTTGGTTTTAGCTGGAGGTAGGACTGTTTTTTTCTTAATATGGCTCAATGTATTTGGTGGTAAATAGCCCGTTCTGAAGAAATGTTCTTTCTCGTGCACTGTGGCGTGAGCATATGAACATTCTGCACGTGTGCACTTTTTATTTTCAAAATCAATACAGAATTTGTAAACTCCTTTAAGTTGGGAATGTATTATTTTGTGGAGATATCTACATGACGCACCACGATTGCAAGTGTTACGCACAAAATTACGACACATGGTCTCTTCGACGTCATTAGGCTTTTCATAATTCTCAGTTGGATCTTTCTTGATATTTATGGTTATTGAAGGTGTCTCCTCGTCATCATTGATTTCCTTTTTGAAATTTGCAAGGAGTGGTTCCGGCGGCGGCAGCGGTGGGCGGTTAGGTAATGGTGGATGAACCTTCTCTGTCTGCTCATGTTTCTTTCTTTTCATCGCTTCTGCTTCTGAGATNTCGACGTCATTAGGCTTTTCATAATTCTCAGTTGGATCTTTCTTGATATTTATGGTTATTGAAGGTGTCTCCTCGTCATCATTGATTTCCTTTTTGAAATTTGCAAGGAGTGGTTCCGGCGGCGGCAGCGGTGGGCGGTTAGGTAATGGTGGATGAACCTTCTCTGTCTGCTCATGTTTCTTTCTTTTCATCGCTTCTGCTTCTGAGATTTCTGCTACTCCATGATATTGGGGCGAGTGACTCTCCTCCCCGATCTTGTATTTTAAGTATTTTTTCATAAGTCTGAAGTTCGGCGATGGCCGAAAATTGACAGAATCTTCATCCCCTATACTCGGGAACTTTGTATTGCCTAAAACGTAACAAATATGTTACTATATATATATATATATTGTTTACTTACCTTATAAGTGCTATTTAGCCCAGTTAAGAAACGAAAGCGCTTGCGCTTTAAAAAATAAATCTGGCCAATCGTATATTCTATCGTTTCGTATATTATATAATTAGAGGCATTTGAACAATCGCATCGCCCGATAAAAAAAGTACAGCGGACTTCTTATCCTTTTGGGGCATAGCGACTTCATAAAATAGTATTAATAAAACAAAACTATAAGGTTTTTTTTAAATGTTTCACGTTTCTGTTATTCATTTAAAAAAAAAAACTGTTTCGATGGCATCTAAATTTCAAAACTAAATAGATCATGCAATGAGCTGGAGTGCATGTAGTACAATACTAAAACGGATCATCTCCAATCGCAGACATCCGCTCGGCCCTTGTTATCGCATCCGTTCCGGCGCTAATGGAAAAAGGATGTGAAGCTCGAATCGCCATTCGCTCCGTCCTCAAAGCTTTGCTGAATCGTGACTAAGGATACTTCAGCTTGTGGGTGACGAAGGTGCTTTCTACGATAATTACCGACATCCTATCGGAAAGAAACCCACAAAGCAGTGCTGGTTTTTTTTTATTGCTTAGGTGGGTAGACAAGCTCACAGCCCACCTGGTGTTAAGTGGTTACTGGAGCCCATAGACATCAGCAAAGTAAATGCGCTACCCACCTTGAGATTGATTTTTCTAAGGTTTCAGTATAGTTACAACCGCTGCCCCGTCCTTCAAACCAAAACGCATTACTGCTTCACGGCAGAAATAGGCAGGGCGGTGGTACCCACCCGTGCGGCCTCACAAGGGGTCCTACCACCAGCACAGCGTCTGCGACGTGGATTCGGCACAGCATATGTTTGCGATTTTTTTCGCACGGGACGGGCAGCAATGTGTCCTTATCACTACTACTACTACATTAGTTCGGGTGCAAAAAAAAAGTTCCAGCGATAATGTTTAACGGGTCAAAATTCTCCGATACTCGGAGCTTTTTTCGTATCTAAGAATGAGAGATGGCCCGTAAGCTTTTCCGATTTCAACAGGACAGATGGACCAACACGGACACAGCAGGAAAAGGGTTGGGTTTGTTAACATCTGCCCGAGTGCTTCCGGAGGCTTAATAGCTCGAAGGCAGCTGTTTCGCGAATGCACCTAATACCGGATCGGAATCGGAACCTGCCGAGTAGATCCCACGAAAAACTCAGCGGGCTAAAAATAAACAAGATAACAAAGACAAAATTGTGACAATCATATGTCACTGTTTCGTTAAAAATATGCTAATCTCATCAGTATTTGATTACAATGGAAAACACTTTATATCAAACATTTAAAAACTTAATGTTTTTTTTTAGTATCCGCAAATTTACTAAGACGTAATTATAACTCATTGTAAACTAAGTATTTTGGGTATATTAATTCTACGTTTAAGAGCGACACTTATACCTACCTCATATGCGCAATTGTCCTGTGTAGTTGCCGTCGTCTAGGAAGCCTTAATTTAAATTTGAGCCAATAAACTTGATATAAATCCGTGTCAGAAACTGAAGTCAGGCGCCCAGGATCGGTAATGCGGCGGCGCAAAGTGATGGGCGTGGCGAAATCGTAGCGTAGGGCGCAGCGATACTGCACATCGTCAATACAGGTAGACTTGATTGCAGAATATCTATATTTGTTGATATAACTAGTGACGTGCATCGCGGTTTTTTATTTAATATTGTACAAATTGTACATTAATGTATTTGGTACGTGATAAACGAAAAACCAATCAATGGCCTAAGTATTTTTTAATGGCACCGAAAGAATATTATTAGAATCTACGCATCGCTTATCGCCAGGCTGTTTATTGTCCTTTTTTATTTAGAGGAGTGAACGAGCTCACAACCTATCGGTGTTAGGTGATTAGGGCCCATAGACATCAACAAAGTAAACGCCGCCATCCACCTAATAAGCTATATCGGCGCAACCCAACCTTCAAATCCGAACGCATTGTTGCGAAGTAATTTTTGAAATGACACAATACAACTTATGTATGGCAGTATGAGATACACGTCGTATGTCATATAATAATATATGTATGTACTTATAAGTTTGTATATATACGCAAGTACATATAGTAATCGGCAAACTTCTTGAGCAAATGACCTTGACTGCGCAGAACCGAATTTTAGATCACTTTGGTGGTGAGGGTGAGGCGCGACGGCAGGGGAAATCGTATCGAGCGCGTTATTGGTAGATCAGTCGAACCTTGCGTCCCGCACCGCGCCCTCATTCCGCTTGCTCCCAAAAGTACGCTTGCGTACAGTGGAAAGTCTATCGTTATTAATCGTTAAGTTATTTGTTATAATTGCTTGTGGACTTTGTTGCCATTGCTATTTGTTGAGTGTTTGTTGATTTTTTATAAAACATACACTATGCCGTGACAAACTGGTGTAGTACTTAAAAGAAAGGGTAGAAAATTTGTGTACGACGTATATTGCTTCATTATAAAACAGGGGAAGAATGATATGGAAAAATTAAAACAGACTTCGGAAGCAACAAAAACATCAGTGAGTACTGTTAGGTGCATTATTAACGAAGCTAAAGGCTCTGGCTTGCTCGCCGTGTTTCGGACTCCGGGTAAGAAAAGATCAGGGAAGAAGAAAGTTACCGGAATGGATAGTTTCGTTCAATCTGTAATAAAAAGATGTAATCATAATAACTACATAACAAGCAGCGAAACTCCGTACCGTAGAAAGGCTTCGAAAAATTTAAAGAAGATATAAATTTTAATGGCTCGGAATGAAGCTTACGACGAATTATGAAAGAGCTAGGCTTCAGATGGAAAAAAAGAACAGAAAATAATCGGAAGCTGGTAAATGAAAAAAGTAACATTCGATTACTACGAATCGAATATCTTCAAAAAATAATTAATTATAGACAAAAAAGAAGACCGAATCGACCGAGTTGTAAACTACGCCGATGAGCCCTATGTCGACTCATCACGATGATAGCGACTCGGGTGATGAAAACAGTGATGATGATGATGGTCAAGATTATGATAACGAAAAAAAAATTACAAATACCAGCTTCGCTTCAACTGAACCAAGACCTGGCAACAGCTCTAGTTTTGACTTAATAGAAGGAATATCTATTTTACCCCAAGATTAAATTATTACAATTATTAACCTATATGTTTTGTTGATGTTCTAATAAATATATAAATAAATACATATGTTGATTTTAATAATTTAATAGCATTATGACGCAGAGTAAGTAATGTTTTTGCACGTGAGTGTACCATGCGCAAACTTACCCCCACTACGTCAACAAATGCTCAAGAAGTTTGCCGGTTATTATACTTGATGTTTAAATATTTGAATAATCAGATAAAACACAAATGATAACCTGGACCCCAACTATAATTCTTTGCCGTGTAAAAACAGAGACAAATACACTTACATATTTATATATAGTTTAAATATAAACAACTACCGCGCTAACAAGTCCGTCAATGATACAGGATTTAAAGGTACTAGAGGTCCCGCAGTAGTCGAAATTCGACTATAATTAATTGAATTATAAGTTTCAACATTATTATGGTCGTATTGTTATAGATTTCGCCAAGACTACACTATAGACAAATACTCGTAATATTAAAGATAAACAATACTAACCTATATTCAATTTGACTACAGACTTTAAGCAATAACATAAGTTTGACAATACTTCAGTGCAATAAACAAAGAGTATATGTGTGTGTGTCAAATACATGGTAGTGTGTGTAATGTTTTTTTATTGATTTAATGTACCCTTTATGCATTATTTATAAAAAAATAGCATTGTGCACTTCTTCTCTATATTCTCTATAAGTGTGGAAAATTTCATACTCCTTCGTCCGCGCAATTTTCTTAAAAAGGGATACAAAGTTTTTGCTTCACGTATTAATATATAGATAACAGACCTAATCAAGAAGTTGTAGGTAATGGCCACAATGTTTTTATTACGTTTATTATGAAATTTGTTAAAGGGTCTTTTTTACTGAAATGGTCTATACCATTAAATAATCCATCCAATCTAAAAATAACACAATGTAAACTATTTTCATTCACCAAAAATAATTATATAACTTATAGAAGTTCAAAAAAATAATTATATAACTTATAGAAGTTATATAATTATTTTTTTTGGTGAATGAAAACAGTTTACATTGTGTTATTTTTATAATGTAGCCATGATATTGCCTTCACGGACTTTTATATTTTATCTTTATTGTAAACAAATAACACAAAGATAAAAAATATGAATATTACATGACGTACAAAGACGAATTTAATTATGTAATGAGTTATCTTCCAAACAAAGACGGAGCGACAACTATAAAGAAGGGTAAAGTGTACGACAACAGAAATGCAATATTCACTATTTATGTTTATATGTATATATAAATTAACGGATATTTATGATAACATACATATAATAGTACAGGATAATAAACACTTAGTGCCCAATCTTTTTAGACTGGGAATAAGTTGGGACAGACAATAAATTACTTGTTACGTGCGAAAAATATAAACGCAGATTTTTTTTATGACAACACACAAAGACGACCGTTCACTTACGAAAAAGCCTTGACGCTACCGAATCGATAATTACACCAATTCGGCCTGGAAATCCAACAAACGGTCATAAAACCGGAATCCGATTTTTTTTATTGCTTAGATAGTCGGACGAGCTCACGGGCCACTTAGTGTTCAGTGGTTACCGGAGCTCATAGACATCTACAACGTAAAAGCCGTCACCCACCTTGAGACATGAGTTCCGAGGTCTCACCCTTTTAACAGTACAACGGTTGCCCCGCCCTTTAAACGGAAACGCATTACTGATTCACGGCAGAAATACGCAGGGTGGTGGTACCTACCCGTACGGACTCACAAAACGTCCTACCAGAAGTAATCACGCAAATTATGACTTTGCGAGTTTGATTTTTATTACACGATGTTATTCCTTCATCGTGGAAGTCAAACATGAACATTTGTTAAATACGTATTTAATTGAAAAAATGATATCTGCCGGCGGGATTCGAGCGCCGATGCATCGCTACATACGAATGCACCGGAAGTTTTATTTTTTAGGCCACGACGACTTCGAAAATAAAACCAGACTTTGAAACTTCGTAAATTTAAAATAAAACCGAAAATAAAACCAGATATACTGATTCTGAAAACGTTCCAGTTTTTTGGGCCGTATGGCAAACCTCCTAAGGGGTCCCGGTCACTCAGGAGGCACGCGGTATATGTAGGACTGCCTAGGAGTGGGTGATATAAATCGTATATAGATTCAATATCTATATATCGCAGCAATATCGTTGAATCCGATATCGCCCCGCACGAAATCTATATATCGATATCAGCCGATACACGATATTGCTCGATGTGATGCGCATCGGCATCGTGGCATATCGTACCGATTCGTGAATCGAAATCTATATTTCGATATCAGCCGATACACGATATTGCTCGATATGCGCATCGGCATATCGTACCGATTCGTTAATATCAGCAATATTCGTTTGGTTCGTATCGAATCGGCCAGAGTGAGTGAGCGCACGATAGGGATATCATGTGATGAATGAAACAGAAACAGGCATTATCCATACAATTGTAAACCTTATATTTAAGTCCATATGTCTGTAGATTATTCTTAGCGTATCAGCAGGATACAATTAAGGAAAGAAGTTTCAACTTTCGACCCTAACTTGAATGCAGTATAGCCTATTTGCATCGTTGAATTTAATTTCACGCGCTTTGACCTTGAACTAGAATTTTTGGACAAGTGTTTATAAATACTTAAAAGTTTTTTGTGTTTGATTTTTAAAGTACACATTTTTCTATTTTTAGTTGAATCCAAATAATTGAGTTTATTTCTTGTGTTTGTATTAAACTTTTGAAATCTACACTCTTTTGGTATATTTTGTAATTTTAAATTAAGACACAAAATACTAAAAACTGAAAATAATGTAGCCAGTCCTAAGCCTGGTAAAAGCATGAAGGAAAGTTTTTTTGATATTTTTATTTTCATGTTCTTTTTATTACTTTAAGATCATATTATAAATTGATATCAGAAAACCAACCGTATAACGTTGACTTAAATCTATATCTACTACGATATTATATCAGCGTAACGTTTCAAATCTCAAATATCATGAATCGAGAAAATCTACTAGCATCCATCAATATATAGATTCAGAAAATATATAGATTCAATATCCGATATTGATCCTCGATATATAGATACGATTCGATACGCGGAAAAACCGATATTACCCACTCCTAGACTGCCAAGATGGTGTAGGCCACCTACTACAAAACTCCCCTCAACACTCGTCTTAAATCTACGTAATTATGGTGTAATAATGTTTTACTGGTGTTAGGACCTCTTGTGAGTCCGCGCGGGTAAGTACCCCCACCCTGCCTATTTTTGCTGTGAAGCAGTAATGCGTTTCAGTTTGAAGGGCGGGGCAGTCGTTGTAACTATAGTTGAGACCTTAGAACTGATATATCAAGGTGGGTGGCGCATTTACGTCGTAGATGTCTATGGGCTCCAGTAACCACTTAACACCAGGTGGGCTGTGAGCTCGTCCACCCATCTAAACAATAAAAAATAAAAAAAACACTTTTTTATCTTTTTACAAAACAACTTATCTCTACGAAAACTGTCTCTCTCTGTACTCTGTTTAGTACATCTTGCATTAATTTTATTTCCAATAGAAAAGCACTAAAGGGAAACTTCGAAATTAGGATAAAATTGTTGGTTTGTAAATATAGTTACAAAACTATATTTCAATAAATATCGAGGTGATCCTTAAAAAACTTAAATTGCTCCTTGTGGCTATATCCGACTTCGAATCCTGAAGACGTTTTTTTTAATGGATGTTAATTTAATGGATTTTAATTTGCACAATCAAGGAATAAAAAATAAAGACAAAAATCTAGACATGGAAAATCACTTGTCTTGACTACCTGCAAGTTACCTTAAGTAGGTACCATTTTCTTGCCTATTTCTGTCCAAAGCATTAATTAGTTTCCAATTTATATAAAGGTTTTATGTGAGTGACCATGTACAATGCTCATTTCCAATGCTCTGTAGGGGTAGATCAGCTGATAAGCTTTCATACTCACAATGTAATTCTAAGCATAGAAAGTGCACAAAGAAATATGCTTTACTCCTATCTTGTATACTGGTAAAACTGACTCATTTGAGAAATCATACAGACAAAAAATATATGTATAATTTTGTTGATTATTGCATATATGGGAGACCTTGTGATTATTGTTACTGGAACATTCAGAGGTGATCCAATCCACATTAAAAAAACAATGACCAAACCATATGACCTACTACACAAATGTTAGGCATTAAAGAAGGCATATTCACAACTTCATTCACTGGTGGTAGGACTTGTACTGGTGGTAGGACATCTTGTGAGTCCATATGGGTAAGTACCACTACTCTGCCTAGTTCTTCCGTAGAGCAGTAAGTCATTTCGGTTTGTAGAGTGGGGTAGCCGTTGTACTGTAAAAACTGTAATCTTAGAACCAAAACTCAAGATAGGTGATGGTATTTACGTTATAGATCTCTATGGGCTCTGGTAACTACTTAACTTAAGGCACTTAAGCAATAAAAATAAATAAACAAAAGGCAAGTATCTAAAGGTCATTTAAAAAAACTTTAATTGGAGTAGCATAACAGTAAGTACTTTTGGGATTTTGGATTTATTTTAAAGAAATCTATATATATTTAAAGATTCTAGACAAAACATGGGGATCGCACACATGTCACATATTTGTTCTATAGCCTTATAATGAGACCCATGATTAAATATGGCACATTGGTAATTGACAACAATAATGGGTAAACTTAACCAGTTTCTAAGACTGGCTTGTTTGGTTAATACAGGATGTTTCAATAAATGCCCACAATTGCACTAAAACAAAGTCAAAATATTCGTCTATAGGACTTTTATATTTAAGTACAAACAGCTTGTTAAGCCTTTAAATTGAAGAATGTAGGCTCACGAAGCAAAATCTACAGAATTTCATTACTTTCAAAGGGTAGAGAGACCCAATACAAAACTAAAGCTAAAAGATTGCTAAAGTGAAAAAATCTAAGACATATCTAAGAGTATAATCAAACTGTTATAGCTTACATCCCATCACCCCTATGATGGGCAGTTAGGATCAAGGATCAAAGTTGGGGGCTCCTAAAATGTACCTTCATTCTATACCTAGTTAGTATAATTCTTTACAAAATATTGACCAACAGATTAGTTAAGCCTATTCTAAGATGTGGTTAAATATCAATATAAACAATCAGTACAGAAGCTCAATTTTTACTTATTAAGAAGTGGTAGGGCGCTTTTAGCTTGCACGAGCAGGACCACTATCGTGCCTATTTCTGCCGCAAAGTACTAACATTAGTTGAGTCGTGAGCTCGTTCTTTCCATATAAGCAATAAAAAATTAAAAACAATAGGGTTTACCTTTTTCTGAAATTTGCATTTATTTCTTTTATCTCTGTAACTTATTCTTTTATTGTCTTCCTATAAATTCACAAAAACAACATTATTTACATACAACACAGAATACAGATTAGGCAAGCACTTTGTAGTGGACATAGATTATACACTTAAGTGCTGGACAATATTAAGTGTATAATCTATGTTGTGGAGCACAGATTAATTAGATAATGATGGCTCAATGAATTGGGCCCCCTTTTTTGATTTTCGGTTTTATTTTTATTTTTAATTGTTTTTAATTTTTAATTGTTTGTTCGTCATTTGTTCGTTAACCACGATCACGCGCTGCGGACGTCGCAGCGTGGCAACGTTCTCGCGGGTCAGCGCATGGCACCAGGCGGGTGCTCTGTAAAGTGCCATAGAGCGCACCACCCCCATGTAGAGGCGGCGCGCCACCTGATCGGGACCCCCGACGTTAGGAAGAAGCCGGCTGAAGGAGCCGGCCGTCGCCATCAGTCGAGGGCCCAATTTCTCAAAGTGAGCGCGGAAGCTCCACCGACCACGTCAAACCGAACCCTGTGAAGCATTTTTTTTAATTGTTTTCTCTTAATACAGGATATTTTCATTAAAATAATCTTTATATAAAACTTCGCAGTCATACACAAGCACTGTAAAACTTATGTTTTGCACTTCCTTTTTAGTATTTATTTCAATATTTGGAGTTATGGAAAATAACTTAACTAACTAACTTTTAAAATAGAGACTTCTACTAATTATCTATAATTCAAATTCCGAGCCTAAATATTTTTGTTGACAGTTACTCCTCTGTTGCCCTGAAATTTAATGCTTCCGCAAGATTTGTTACTCTCTCTCAGATCACACTTTTGACCCAGAATTTGAATGATCTGCTAGCAAATATGGACTATTTTGCAGATGAGATCATATGCCGCCAGCTACCATTTTGTCTTGGGGCACATATAAAGAGAGACTACCAAAACCTGGGTTCGAGTTGTCGAATTCTTTATGGCAGGGCTTAATATAGGTTTCATATAAATATAATTTCAGTCATGATTTGAGTTTGAACAGTCATTTGTTTAAAATCCCAATTTCGCGATTCGTTTAAAATATTTAGTTCTACGGTGGTATTTTGATGCCCTCTGTGTTTTGTATTGCTTAGTCCAAGATAAATTTCCTGAGACGCAGTGGAGTAGTGATCTTAACTCGCATCCGGGGTACAATACCTTTTTTGCGCTCCCTATTCCCCCTTTTAAACGTTGTGGGCTAAAGAATAAGTCCATTGCGTTCGTATCTAGCGATGCAACGGTGTTCGAATCCCGCAAGCGGTTACCAATTTTTCTAATGAAATATGTACTTGACAAATGTTCACGATTGACTTCCACGGTGAAGGAATAACATCGTGAAATAAAAATCAAACCCGCAAAATTATAATTTGCGTAATTACTGGTGGTAGGACCTCTAGTGAGTCCGCACAGGTAGGTACCACTACCCGGCCTATTTCTGCCGTGAAGTAATGCGTTTCGGTTTGAAGGTTGGAGCAGCCGTTGTAACTATACTGAGAAAGGCAACATATTCCGGGACATATGAACGCGCTGAAGCACGGTTTCGTTCCTGACCCTCTGCGTCCAACTAATCCGTAATGGGCAAAGTGGACGGAAAGAGACGTGCTGGGCGAAGAAAGAAGTAATGGCTCCGGAATATCCGGGAGTGGACCGGTATTGCCTCCGTCGAAAAGCTGTTCCGGCTGGCTGCTGACAGAAAAGAATACAGGAAGCTAACGGCCAACCATCAGGATTGAAGAGGCACTGAAAGAAGAAGAAGTGTGTAGCGTTCGGGGTATGACGCCTCCTTTGACACCCCCCCCTCTCTTTTTACCTCTTACTATAGGGCACTGAAATGAACATCTATTGTCTTTCTTCAAACTACGTTTGACGCGAATCTTCGTCCGTAAGTAGTGACTTACTTCTAACATTAGTAATATCCACTGTCAGTTGGGTTGTATGATTGTGGCACTATAAAGAAAATTAAATTAAAATAAGTGTCAAAATTCACACTTTTAGGCGGGAGCGCAAGGAGCGAAGTTATGTGAATTGTTTTATTTTGTCTATTTATTGTTTCTTTAGGTTTAAATGCGTAATTTCGGTGGTTTATTAACTGTTTAGCATCTGTCAAAGTGCACAAATATGGGAAAATGAAACAAAGCCGCTGGACGTAGCTTCTCGGGATCCTCCAAAAAGTCTCAACACCATTTTACTGAGATTATATTGCATCCCATATCATCTCATCTCATAAAATTTCATTTAATTTCATGCCAATTGATTAATATGTTTCAAATTAATCAACTTCATTTCATTTCACTTCATAATATAATTATTTTGAATAAAAAAATTATCAAAGATTAGGACTTATGGTATAATACCATTGCCTTTTCAGTTGGAAAAACTACTAGTAAGTAGTCTGTCAAAATTCTTAATCAAACTATTGGATTTAGTGAAAATTTGGTATTAATTTTTTTAAATCTAGTCGAGTATGATCTCGTTTATTTAATAACAATAATATCTTATATACAAACCGCCTCTCAGCTTATTGACTTTTAAGAATATTTTTCGTTTAAGCGCTGATTCAAGTCCTCATGCAGCATATTTTACGTAGAGGTCCTCTCTATCTATGAACTTTGCTTGTAATGGGAATTATTTTGCGAAAGGAATTCTAAATGTTTGAGTGACCTTTTTGGGGTAAAAGAAATAAATGCGAAGCTCAGACGCAGGTAAGAATAAATTGAATTACACTAGAGGTACAATGTATTGTTTTTATTTAATAACATAATTTTATTTAATAATAATAGCGACCCGCCCTCGCTTCGCTTCGGAAACATTAAATTTTATTATTGATAGTCGAGTCCCGCGATGTTACCAGAAGTTATTGTCGTACCGCGGGTGATGCCGCGGGGCGAAGCTAGTCTAAAAAAATAGCCTAAGTTATTCCTTATATCATCAGTTATCTGTCAGTGAAAGTCCCGTCAAAATCGGTCCAGCCGTTCCAGAGATTGGCTAAACTTTCCTTTTGGGTCCGTCGATTTGGAATTTCACAATATTAGTTGTAGATAGTACTCATAAATAAAAAGCTTTTTGCAAAATTTCAAGTTGAGGAGACTCACGGTTCACGAGATATAATTTTTTAAAGTTATCGTAAATATTAGAAAAATCGTTAAGGTAGATGTCACATTTAACGTTTCACGTTCCATTCACAGTAAGCATGTATTTTGTTAAATTTTATGTGATGTTTTTACCGAAATATATTTTATTATTTTAACATATTCACATAGTAAATTTGTTGTAATTAATGTGCATTGTAACTGTTTCTGTAATAAGCAATTATATTGACTTTTTTACACAAAAAGTAACAAAATTTTGCTTATACTGTAGAACGAAACATGAAATGACGCATTTTTTATATAGCGTCTTTTTATCTGTCTCTGTAACAAAATAACTTTTTAAATAACATTTAAATATTAATCAGTAAATTACTCGTGTTTTGGAAATAAAATTACAAAAATATTCGAAAAATATCGAAAACCGAATCCCCTCTTTCCACCTGGTCTTGTCTGCCCTACCCCTAGAGTGTATATAAAAAACCGGAGGCGCGGAGGGAGAGCAGTCCTCACCTGCTGTGACGGAGCACGGAAATAGGGCAAGGCGGAGCGGCTGAGGTTCAGCCGAAGTTGCGGAGTGGAGCACGAGTGACCGTGCTTCGGCACGCAAGGGCGGAAGGGCTGCTCTTCCCGCAGCGCCGGAGATAAGGCGGATTCAAACTTAAGCTCTCATGGAATTTAACTAAATAATGCAGTTTTCCTTCCTTTCCTTCCTTCATAGCCATGGGGATCGGCGGCTTGGTGATGGTGCAGTGGTAAGCCCTTACACCCCTCCTTCCACAACTCCAAAATAATGGACCATAATTGAAATTTTAACCCTATGTTGACTAAATAGTGCTATTCTAACCTCAAAACATTAACCGTGGATATCTTCATAACCATGGAGTTCCGCGGAGTGGAGATGGTGCAGGGGATTAGCCCTTACTCTCCTCCCTCCCGACTCAAAAATTGATGGACCCTAATCTAAATTTTAACCTTATTTTGACTAAATAGTGCTATTCTAACCTCAAAACATTAACCGTGAATATATTCATAACCATGGGGTTCCGCGGGGTGGGAATGGTGTAGGGGGCAAACCCCGCTTAATATCTTCATATTTTTTTTATGTTGAGCAAATAATTCCCCGGCACTACGAATCCTTGATACCTTTTGTGTCCTACGTGCTACAACAATAAGCGGGGTAATTGATTAGTTAATATTTAGTTATCTTACGTTTCAGGCCAGACAAATTTCCAGAGTATAGGGGATGAAGATTCTATTAATTTTCAGCCATCACCGAATTTCAAACATATGAAAAAATACTTAAAATGCAAGTTTGGGGAGGAGAGTCACTCGCCCCAATATCATGCAGTAACAGAATTCCCGGAAGCAGAAGCTATGGAAAAGAAGGGAAATGAGCAGACCGAGAAGGTTGACCCACCTTTACCTAACCGTCCACCGCTGCCGCCGCCGGATCCACTCCTTGCAAATTTAAAAAAGGAAATCGTTAATGAAGAATACATAGACACATCTTCAATAACCATAAATATCAAAACAGATCCAACCGAGAACGATGGAAAGCCTAATGACGTCGAAGAGACTATGTGTCGTAATTTTGTGCGTAACACTTGCAATCGTGGTGCGTCATGTAGATATCTCCACAAAATAATACATTCCCAACTTAAAGGAGTTTACAGATTCTGTATTGATTTTGAAAATAAAAAGTGCACACGTGCAGAATGTTCATATGCTCACGCCACAGTGCACGAGAAAGAACATTTCTTNGTGCACACGTGCAGAATGTTCATATGCTCACGCCACAGTGCACGAGAAAGAACATTTCTTCAGAACGGGCTATTTACCACCAAATACATTGAGCCATATTAAGAAAAAAACAGTCCTACCTCAAGCTAAAACCAAAGGTAAAAAGTTTATATGGAAACCATATTTCATACTTCCAAAAATCTACTATTCTTACTAAGTTGAAGTCCCGCAGCTTCATCTGTGTAGAATTGATAATTCAGAAAGAATGACCCCAGTGTAAGGTTTTTCTTCTATCACTTCGGTTCGTAAAGTGCGAATTGATTTCAATAACTGAAAACACTGTTTACTTAATATAGCAGAAATACTTTTTGTTTTCTGGCTCATGTTATGTCATGTCCATAATAAAAAGTAATAATACATCTTTCATCAAACTCTGCTCAACTATTTTGGTGTGATTTAGTAACAGACATTAAAAATTATAAGCATTAACATTTAAAATGTTAGTCTGGTTCCGAACATAGGTCACGGATAAAATTCTCTTTTAATCAAAGGTAACTTTATTGAGAGCTCTCAGACAAGCAAAAACACAAACCTGATCACATGTCTTTCTATATCTTTCCTACGAGTATAACACACTAGTTGCATTCTAATTCGCCTTGCATCGTTGTTTGCTTTGATAGTTTTTCTCACTTCGCTGTTTAACATCTCCGTTACCGCGCTCGTTCCCCCTGACACATGCCATACTCTGGCCTCTAGAACGCATTTGTAACTTCCGAATGTTCGGGAAATACTGTCTGTTGTTCGTCCGCCCCTTACTTGTGGTCGCGCTATTTAGGCGGTGGTCTGCGGTGAAGGTTACGGTGCTGCCTAAACGGAGTTGAGACGGCGCGTTATACTACCAGCACTCAAGCTCGTCACCAAGGAGTAATATCATAAGCGCGACAGGTTGGCAGTGTGTCGCACGGCAGGCTGGTTTTGACCTAACGGGGTATCCCTGGACCAGTGGGGTGGGGTACCGTCGGAGTGAACTGAAGGGCTGTCGTACCTCGGAGACCTGCGTTGTTAGTCGTCGATGATGGCCTCAACTTCCTTACGATCGAGCGTCTTCGGAGTAGCGCTGCGAGTGCGAGTGTTGACTTCACACTTCGATAAAGCGGCACGACACGAGAACCCTCTCATCGTGGCCGCCGGTAACTACATTCCCGATCCTGCGGAAAGAATGGAAAGCAGTCGACGTCGCCCCAAACACGTCATTTCGGATCCTCCCGATCCACTAACGGTGCTTTTAGGTACCTCAAGCACCGGTCACCGTTCTAGTCGAACCCGTCGCATGCGACGAAGGGCTCGACGAGTAAATTAACCCTCAGACAGAGCCCACTGAGTTTCTCGTCGGATCTTCTCAGTGGGTTGCGTTTCCGATCCGGTGGTAGGTTCTGCGAAGCACGGCTCTTGGTAGGTTTCGTGTTAGCAACGTCGTCAGGTTGGAGCCCCGTGAGCTCACCTACTAATTAAGGTTCCGCTGATATAGCCTCTCAAGGCTATCAGCTTAGGAAAAAAAAAATTGACTTCAGCACCCCTTGCTCAGCCCGGGTTTGATCCAAGGCGGAGCTCGGACATCGGGTGAGAGAGTGCAAGAGAATTCCTTTGGTCGGTAGGGTCCTAAAACATCCTTGTGCCTGCGGTCCGTGGATCCACATCCCCTGCGCGTTCACTAGGCGCGGAAACCTCATTCATGAGATTCGGTGACCTGTCCAAAAATAATAATAATAATAGGTATTCTGGCATATTTTATGACTCTTCAACGCTTTGTCACCACATTATGCATTAACGTAATGTCGATAAGTTTTAAAATCTAAAAAAGATTATACCTCTATTCATTTATGATGATTTCTGTGAATTGTACAAATTAAATTTGTAGATTCTATTCAATATTATTATTATTTTTTCGAATTTATCGTTTGCAATAATAGTGAGAGTACAATCGAAAGTCTGCAAGCTGCATAAAATTACATTTTCTACTAAAATTTATTTTCAGCGACGACACCAAACATGTCGGCGCCTTATAGTGCTGATCAAACATTTCCACTGGGGTATGTTGTTCACTGCTTAATTTATATTGGTTGTCTACGAAAGCCGATGAGCCTAAAGCCTACTAGCTTGTTAATGGTTATTGTAGTTTACTGACGTCAGCAAATATGTTTACAAAACACGTCAAATCTTTTTAAGAAGAACACAAAGTCAAAGCATAGAAATGAGGCGAAGGTGAATAAACTCATTTAAGATCAGAAATGGTGTCTTGTATCGTACTTTGAGTTTTGATTCTGGGAACTATACCAGCGCTTAGGGCATTGGAATGGGATTCCATAGACAATATGAATGCTGACATCCACTTAGAGACACGTCGAAGTCACACTGCATTGTTTAACGGCTAACCGTGATCTTTGTTTTATCTTGGTTAGTAAAAAAGAACCTAAATTTCAATTTCAAATAATTATTATTACGAACAACTTTTTACAGTATTAATACTGTTCCCGCCTACCCAAATACATCCAATATGAAGATGATCCAAAATCCATATCCCGGTATGATCTCACCTACGACGAGGCAGTGGCTAGGAATGGAGGAGAGTAAGTTTTAATAGACAAAAAATTCATATCATAATATCATTTAAATGTTATATGTTTCAGCGGTAGGCTGCGGCTTGGCCCTGCCCCTGGCATTGCTGAAGTCCATGGGCGACGGTAACCACTCGCCATCAGGTGGGCCGTGTGCTCGTCTACTTACAAGGGCAATAAAAAAAAAGTGCCTTGTGGAACGCACTGCGTGATGGTCTCGTGCTATCGGTGTTCGATGATTATCCGAAATATTTAATGGCTTCTATTCGTAATAGCTCAATTAATATTAAATTGATGTTGCGTGGTAGCGGTTACTAGAGCTCATATCCATTTAAACCTGAATGCTGCCACCCACCTCGACATATAAGTCGAAGTCTCAACTGTGTTCGATAACATTTGTAAGTAAAAACATGTCTTGTAACAACAAAATATGTCGAAATCGCCGTGCTGTTATGGTGGTCCGAATCGCAGACACTTTGAAGTCGTCGTGGCCTAAAGGATAAGACGTCCGTTGCATTCGTATCGAGCGATGCACCGGTGCTCGAATCCCGTAGGCGAGCACCTATTTTTCTAATGAAATACGTACTTAATAAATGTTCACGATTGACTTTCACGGCGAAAGAATAACATCGCGTAATAAAAAATCAAACACCCAAAGTTATAATTTGTGTAATTACTGTTGGCAAGGCGTCTTGTGAGTCCGCACGGGTAGGTACCACCGATCTGCCTATTTCAGCCGTGAAGCAGTAATGCGTTTCGGTTTGAAGGGTGGGGCAGCCGTTGTACTGTAAAAACTGGGACCTTATTACTGGAAACTCATATCTCAAGCTCGGTGGCGGCATTTACGTTGTGGATGTCTATGGGTTCCGGTAACCACTTAACACCGGGTGCCCTATGAGATCGTCCAACCCATCTGAGCAATAAAAAAAAAATCTTTCCTACACTGTCACTATCATAAAAATCGGAATTCACGACCGCATGTACTTGTTCTAGAACATCTATCCTTCGATTAACAGCCAGAACATCTTAATATGAATAATTTAGGATAAGAACAGAATCATATCATGTTCTGTTTTACCCTCATATCTCGACTACTCGTACAGAAATACCTTGAAAAGAAATATTGTGAAGATCGCGTGAAATAAATTTAAATTTTATTAAAACTTGCATCCGATGCTAAATATTTTGAAGGCTGTATTTAAAAAAAAACCCTTTCAATAACTTATTGCAGAAACATCAGAGCTGTCGGCGAACTATAGCGGCACTACGTACCCCCATAGGTATGTTTTGTGTTACATTAAAATTATTATTATAACTTACAATGTATTGGTGTCCGTATTTTATACGTATGTGTCAACCCTAGATCCGTATTCAGTAGAGCTTTAGACGATGATTAATATTGTCCGTCCTCATTATAGGGATNTTCAATAACTTATTGCAGAAACATCAGAGCTGTCGGCGAACTATAGCGGCACTACGTACCCCCATAGGTATGTTTTGTGTTACATTAAAATTATTATTATAACTTACAATGTATTGGTGTCCGTATTTTATACGTATGTGTCAACCCTAGATCCGTATTCAGTAGAGCTTTAGACGATGATTAATATTGTCCGTCCTCATTATAGGGATGTTCCGAATAAAAAGATAGATATTAAATTAAGAGTTTATAGTCCATTTAGTGTTACATAGCTAAACTAATAGACATCACAATGCCTAAGTCTCAATCCGTTCCATCCTTTCAAACTGCAAGAGATGGAACAGATTGGTTGAAGCACATGTCTGCTTCAGGGCAAGAACAAACAGAAGGTTTACGTTAGGTTTTTTCCGGTTTCGGTTTTATCGTTCGTGAACACACGCTTAAATAAATAGAAAAGATACTATAGCAAATAGGAAATTTGGTACCTGCCTGCGGGATAGTCACATTGCTCCATACGACCACACCGGGCGTCTCATTTTTGGCCATGACGATTTTTGATTATTAATTAGTATTAACACGTTCAACGTCAAATGAAAAATGGAGTATTTTCATTCAGGCCACGATGTTCACCGGTTAGCCTTATCTTACTGAACCGTTCGGGCGATGAGGGTCACCCGTGAGTCGCGTCAGGGTTCCAACGTAAACGCTTCCTACAAGCCACAGGTTGCAGCTATCAAGCAAAACGCGTATGATCTTCCGTGCAAATTATCGCATTTTATAAATTTTAGAATGAAAATATGAAGTTGATAAAAACTACTGATTCCCTGATTTTGGCGGCCCAAACGCTAGGCCCACCGGCGGGTCGTGTATAGTTCAACGTATTAATGGTATTTTCTTAGAGAAGCTGTATCTGCTGTAAGAAAAGGAGGAAAAATCTTAACACCACTTTTCCCCGAATCTGTTATTTTACGAAAATTTATTCACAACTATAGTACAAACGTGTGCAGTCTCAGAATCTTAGTGTGGTTTTCAACACCAGATATTACAATAGTTCTCTGTCTGCAGTGCTAGCACCATCCCGATGTATACAAACACGCCGAATGTGAACGTGATGCAAAACCCATACGCCAGGCAATGGCCAGAAACTGAAGACAGTAAGTAGTAAGAATTTTTGCCTTTACTCTTCACCTTTATTAACATAAATTTTCACTGAAATATAAAATAGTACGGCTTACGGCCGATCTGTGTGCAAAGTGCGAGTTTTTCAACTTCTCGATCGCGTAAAACTTAACTCTTTGTATGGAGTTGGAACAGCGCCCCTAGCGGCAAATGTACCCGGTGCTATTTTGCTAGTGCGAGATGTGTGTTGACGTTACGGTCTCGTAATCGAGTAACTTTACCGAAGTGAGTGCCTCGAATGACGTTTGTGCGAGTGATGTGAAGTTGACTTTTTGGTGGGAACGCGAGGAGTGAAGTTGTGTGATTTGTTTTATTTTGTCTATTTAGTGTTTCTTCAGGTTTAAATGTGTAATAGCGGTGATTTATTAACTGTTTAATATCTGTGAAAGTGTACAAATCTGGGAAAATTAAATAAAGCCGCTGGACGTAACTTCTCGGGATCCTCCAAAAAGTCCATTGAAAAAATCTCAGTAAATGACCACCATTTTACTGTGATTATATTTCATCCCATATCATCTCATCTCATTTCATTTAATTTCATCCCAGTTGATTTCAAATTAATCATCTTCATTTCATTTCATTTCATTTAATATTATCATTTTTCATAACAATAAGAATATAAATTAAAATAAGATATGACTTAAAGGTCTTAGTTACCAGGTCATAAAGTCCCTTAAAAAAAAGAATGTGAAGTGAAGTGAAAAAGTACTCGATCGAACTGTAAAAATCCACTAATTTGTAACTCACACTCACACAAACGTCATTCAAGGTACTCACTTCGGTAAACTTACTTTAAATATGAGACAACAACAATAACAAACCTTCTCGCTCCCACAATTTGGGATTCATAAGTTTACCACTAAGCAGCGTTTTTAGCATTTTACAATCTCATTTATATTAGTGTTAACATTAACCAAGTACCTTGTTTTAAAAACTCGCACTAATCACAGTGAAATTATCCATCACCCGACCAATTAAATATAGTAACCAGTCCATATTCAATACCCGTTAGAAAAGGTTGTATTTCATTTGACTGGTTTGAAGAAAAAAACACCACGCGCTACCAATATACTAGGAAAAATTTCGAGTAAATGTCATGTGAATGTAGTAACTGGTGTCCACTTACAGTCAGAGTTATTTTCATCGTGAAGAAAATACAATCAATTTACGCAGTGGTTAAATTATTTGAATTATTTGACGAGATTCTCATTAAGCACACTGTTATCCAGACGACCCACTTCTGTATTATCAAATAACTGATATTTAAGGTAGGTCCAGAGATCGGTGTACTATAGTAGGAATGCGACATTTATGTTGTTGATGCCTATGGGCTCATGTACCCATTTAACACCATGTGAGTCGCGAGCTCGTCCACCAATCTAAGCAATAAAAAAATAATTAGTGTGCCAAACCTGTTTTACTCCTGGCGTTAGTCCATGCCATGTATGCGAACCGCTTCAGACGTACATATTACTATTGGTTTTTCCAAAAGACGCTTCAAAGGAAAACTTATGGAAATGTCAAGAAATTTGGTGTATTTTTTGTTCAAAAGCACGAAGCTAACACCCGTAACTAACTTTTCAGAATCGCCGACCGTGATGCACAATCCATACGCCACTGTGATGTCTCCTACGAAGAGGCCGTGGACAGAAATGGAAGAGCCCAGTAAGTAGTAAAGAATATTCTGCACATAGAATATAATTTAGGTTATAATTTAGACTCTACATACGGTCTTTTGTCTGCCATACTGCATACCACCTAAAGGCGAATGGTTGCCTTTTGGATGCCACAGCTAAGGGCTCCTTTTAAATCTTATTTGAAGAATGAACACTCGTCCGAAACTGTGGAAAGGAGTTCATACCAGAGCAGAAAGATGCGTCGTAAAGGTGGGCACTTGCTTGAATTTAGCAGTTTAATGGGGTAGGGATTAACTCTTGATCAGGACACTCTGTGTCTGTGTAAGTGTGATGGATCGTCTAAATTTATGAGTGGCTTTCGTCTGCATAGATACTTTACATTACTCTACAGACTAAATATTAATTTTCTGCAGAGAGACTATAAAAGTGTGGAGGGATACACTGTCAAACACACAACGAGTCCCCGGCAGATATGAAACAACTAAATTTTATCGTAATTTTAGACTCGAATTCAGCTTAATAATAGCTATTGTGTTTGTTTGTAATAAAAATTTTAGTATTCGAGTATTGCATCTTAATCATTGAATATAATATAATTTAAATTCGAATATATTATTCCTTAATCACTGAGACTTTTGCCTTGCCTTTTGTTGTGACGTTTCGAAAATATGACAATTGACAGTTTAAAAAAATTAACACAACCTCGTCTTTATAGAAAGTAGGTAGGTAATACAAAAATCGACACCAGAGGAGCAAAGCGGCATTGAACTCTAATGTTTTTATGTTTAAATATTGAAAAATACAGTCAAACCTGTACAGTCAAATCTCATTCTCGCTTATAGAGGTTTCTCACTAACCCGAGTTTCTCGCTAACGCTCCCTCTGAATTTCATTTCGCGATTTTCCGGATTCAAACGCATTCACTATTTTGAGTTTATCACTTAATGACAGTACTTTAATTTTCCGTTTTGACATGATGCAGAACAGAACTTTTCTTCGCAATTGATCAACGATAAACTGAGTAAGTTCGACAAATAGGACGGTACACAGGTACACGTGTCCATTCGAAAAGAATGCGATAAAATAACAACGTTATTTAGTTCCACGAAATAGAATAGGTTCAATATTGACGAGAAAACAATTCAAAAACAATGGTAGGAAGTTACACAAAAGTTAAGAATGCGTCATAAAATAGCCGATGTTAAATTTGTAATTTGTTTTTTCACTCGTTCCTCCTAAATAATATAAATAAATAAAGCTCGACTGTCGCTTATGGAGGTATAGATAAATAGCAGTCTCACTTACGGAGGTCCTTGAGGGAAAAACGACTCTCTCTTACAGAGGTTTCTGTTTCTCTCTAATAGAGGTTTTAGGAGCTTAAAATGACGGGTCCTGGCTATTACTCCCACTTATAGAGTTTTCTCACTTAACCAGGTTTGACTGTATATTAATTGCACATATGCAGTAACTCATAACACCGTTCAGTGTAAATACATATGATTGAAGATCTGAGTGCTGCTTGACAATAAACGAAGAGAAGGACGTCGCGACCTTAGAAGTACCACTCAAACACGAGTACGTCGGTATACTAAAATCAAAATAACATTCGAATTGTTTTACATTTTCGCAGGCTTTGCGGTACATTACACACGCTAACTACTATTTAACTGGTTCTTACTTGAAGGTATTTTGTCGGGCCAAGTCATCAAAGGGGTTGTATGCTCGTCTGCCTATAGGAACATTAATTCTCACATTCGATATTATTGTTTTAATAATTCATCAGTTTTGCAAGATAATTAATTTTCATGTTATGCTATATAAATTGTGCTCCCACTTGTTCTGCGTACTAATTTAGCTTTAAATAATGTAGCGTTTCTATATATTGTTTCAAACTTTATCTATTATATATAAGTAGACTATTAATGCACAAATGTTATATTATTTAAGTTACATTTCGATCTAGTATCATTACAGTTGTCCACCAGGAACTTATTCATATAACCTGTGCATTTGTAATAGACGTGACCGTTTATCTTTGGTTTTTATTTTTCAGTGATACAACCCACACGCGAGTACGCAGAGTACGCTGAAGCGACTGAATCTAAGAAATGCAGAAACTGTGATGTCAACGAGTTCAGGTAACACATGTTCTTAAATGAAGAAAATTAATGATATAAAATGTATTTTAACAATGCAAAACAAAATAAGGGCGTTCGTTTTTAATAAATTCAATGATTGCTTACTTTGAAATTACATTAAAAGCCATTGCAAAATTGCAATAATAATGATTATGTATTCTAAAGTTTTTGCAAGTTGTATACATAACCTGCTCATTGCGCTCGTTGTCTTTCTTACGTTTTGCATGCTGGATAATTTTCGTTACGAATGATTCTTATTTGTCAACATTTTAATATTGTGTGTCAATTTTTCTGTAAAAAATATAGCTTGAATTTTATTTACGAAATGTAAAAGTAGTTTTAATTATGATGTAACATCAAAAGCTATATTGTTTCTGTAGTAGGTACATTAAAAAAAATATCGTTTTTTCAACCAGGTTGCAGCATAATAAAAACAAAATCATAAAAATGATGGAAGACGCGGATGATCTGAACAAGCGTGTCGGGCAAATAACTAAGAAGAACAATAAACTAAACGAAGTTCTTGTTCTGCTCATCGAAGCTGTGGTGCGTATCTGTTCCTTACATTGTGTACGGCAGTCAAATGTGTTCTGGTTTTTGACTGTAAGTGGATTACTGAAGCCCTTAGTCATTTCAATGCCACTAAGGGCATTAAAGTATGAATTCGAAGTCTCGACTGAATTGGAGTCTATGAAGACTTAAATATTGATCCAATGCAATTAATTATTTTAGTTACAACGGGACTTCATAAGTGGAATGGTAAATGTTGGGTTTTTTTTTTTTTTTTCAGTGGTGACACAATAATTAAATGTAAAAAGCAATTTAAGGTAGAGGCTGTACTCTGATATCATTAATGGCCATCATGCTGTCCATACATTTTGGACACCTACAATGAGTAATTAATTACCTGTTGGACAATGAAAATTTAGCAGATTAGAAAATTAAATATTTGATTAGTTCATTTTAATCATAATAGTAAATATTTGTAACTGTACACTCTGAAAGCTATGTATGTGTTCTCATATTCTCTTTGTTCCCAGGCTGAACACTGCAACCCAGAGGCTAGCGATGAAATGGTAGCTATATAAGTTTTCAATATTATTTAAATACTATACCTTTTATTACATTTTTCTTCAAGCGATTCGGTTCTCTTTATCACCCCACCCCATTTTAATATCGCAAAATATTGTACAATGTATCGGCGCCAAAATGAGACAACTCAATGAGCAATCATATAAAAATGACAGATTCCAAATTCAAATGTAATATTTTGTTTATTTTTAATTGTAACAGTATTTATGGCCAGACTAAGTATATTCGGCAAAATAAGTTCACCTTGACGGACGCCTCTTTTTATTTTTTATTGCCCTTGTAGGCAGACGAGCATACAGCCCACCTGATGGTGAGTGGTTACCGTCGCCCATGGACTTTAGCAATGCNTCATATAAAAATGACAGATTCCAAATTCAAATGTAATATTTTGTTTATTTTTAATTGTAACAGTATTTATGGCCAGACTAAGTATATTCGGCAAAATAAGTTCACCTTGACGGACGCCTCTTTTTATTTTTTATTGCCCTTGTAGGCAGACGAGCATACAGCCCACCTGATGGTGAGTGGTTACCGTCGCCCATGGACTACGGCATGCCAGGGGCAGAGCCAAGCCGCTGCCTACCAAAAAAAAGGCGAGTCATAGTCATAAAGCGAAATGACGCCATTCATCATCACATGAGATCTAGATTTTATTTACATTTCAATAAGGACTACTGGAGCCTTCAAAGCCAGAATCTACGAATGTTCGTTCGAGTACACAAATGAAACTTGCTTTTCGTGATACTGCGAAATTGGCTTATCTGTGTGCTTAGTGCGCATTTTTTTTATTGCTTTTTTTTATTGCTTAGATGGGTGGACGAGCTCATAGCCCAACTGGTGTTAAGAAGTTACTGGAGCCCATAGACATCTACAACGTAAATGCGCCACCCACCCCGAGTTAAGTTCTAAGGTCTCAAGTATAGTTACAACGGCTGCCCCACCCTTCAAATCGAAACGCATTACTGCTTCACGGCTGAAATAGGCAGAGTGGTAGTACCTACCCGTGCGGACTCACAAGAGGTCCTACCACCAGTAAAAAACGTTTTTAACGTTCTCGATGTAAAAGTTATTATAATATAATATTATAGCTTATTATTATTATTATTAAGTAATTTATATGCAGTTGGAATAGCGCTCCTAGCGGCAAACGTAGGCAAAGGTACCAACCAATTCCATATTATCCAAATCTGAGTTAAGTTTTACGCGATCGAGAACGTCAAAAACGCGCATTAAGTACACAGTTATAAAAATGGCAATATAATATTACATAATGTAGTAGCTTAATGTGTACTAAAACCCATGTAATGCAAACAAATATCTGTAAAATTAAAAAAAAAATCATTTCCATTACCGTGTACTGTTAATGTTGTTGTTGTTGTTGTTGTGCTGATACGTTTAGGTCGACGCTTACATGCGATGGGTTTTTTATTGTTATCCCGCCGCTTCTGGATAGCATTTAGGTCGGCGGGATACTGTTTTTTTTGAAGTTATACTTCTTTAGGCGCGTTATGAAAAATTGATGAGAGTGAAATTTTACGATGCGCGCGCACCGTGACACAAAATTAACAGAATGAAGTTGCCCACTAAATCGCTCATTACAATACGACCGACGTAACTTGGCGAGTCTGAATATAGCCGCAGGTGAACTTTCCGAACCGTACCGAGAATTACCGAATTTATACGATGTCAAGAAAAGGGATGTCCCATATGCGTGTTTGAGGATGTTGTTTAATCGATTTTTTTTCAAATTAATTAAAATTTAAATTAAAAAAAAGAAATAAATTTAATAAAAATAAAGTATAACTTCTTACGCGAGTACATAAGTACACGCACCCTTTTTTTTTTCATTCATGTCATATGGGTTGGAAAATACAAAACAAATAAATAATATATACGTCCTTTTTACATCTTTGTATGAGATATATTTTGTCGGTTTCAGAGTTTCGAGCATAATGCAGCACAAATTATGAAGAATGTAATGGCTGCAGAACGCGGAGAGTCTAGTATGTCACCGGAAGACATGTTCTATGATTAACTTGTCAGAAGTTACAAATTATTATTGCAATTTGCAATTATTATGACTGTTAAAATAACATCCATTTACCAAACGCGTAAGACCACAACAAGGTGGATTTTTTTTTTTTTTTTGTATAAGTTTTTTTTTACAAATACAATTTTATTATTTTACTGTCGTTTTATTATCTTATAAACTGACTATGTGTTATCAAAAGTAATCATGTTTTCAGTATTGGTTATTGAATAAAATATTTCACCTATTGTTGTGTAAACTTGCGAATAAAAAAAAACCGAAGCTGGCCTTTGAGGGTTTCTAAAGAAAGAATGGATGTTTTATAGCACCCAAAATTAACTTCAAAATATTAGATTGCATTATATTGATTGCATGAGTTATGTGAAATTACCTATGTGGTAGGTAATTGGTTTTAGATTATATTTGTTTCTTAGTTTTCTTTATGTCAAGATAAAAACTGAATAATATGCTAGGATACATGTTTCCTTATTTTTCATTAGCACATTCCGATTTAAAATCGTATTTTAATTCATGTTAGTATAGCCAGATATCTGATAAATCCTCTACTATATATTATTTAGTTTTTTGTATTTAAAATATATAACATAATTGTTTATTTATTTCTAAGGTAGACGAGCATAAGTCTTACCTAATGACAATAAGATTCACCTTCACATTGAAGATTATTATCCTATAAATTTTGTACTGTTTCTCCAGCAGTACGTAATATAAAAATGAAACAATTTTAAGTGTACCCTGACTTGAATAATGATATTGTTAAGGACTGGCAATATGTTTCTGTGAATGCCTTTAAAGAATCTCTATGTTCATCGCTAAAAGATAATATTTAGATTTTATCTATGATTTTAGAGTTTTTCGCAAAACTTTAACTTGAATAAGTGTAAACCTTAATGTAGGCGTCGTAGTAACAAGTGCAAGCATTGATCTTCATGAATTAGTAAAAAGTTTGTAGGAAACAAAAAAATAAGTATCTCATTCAGGAATTTTAAATGGCATTGCATTTACACGAATGTGTAGGTATTTTCTTTTGTATTGTTTCACACTAGCTATAGTTCTTCGATTAATTATATTTTAATTATTTCATGTTTAGATGAGGAAACATTGTATCAGTGGTCGCAATAATACAAACGAAATGTAAAAACGCAATAAACAAAACATAAAAATCAGACTTATTATTTATAGTTACTATAGATTTTGAATGCATATAGCAATAATATGTACTAGAATGTAATAATACGCAAATAAATATTTTTTACCATATAGGGAGTTAGTTTCATCCACTCTGAATATTGTAAATAATGTTACACTACGACCTGCTGTATCTTTTTTTAAATTTCTCTAAATTAAATCGGTTGTCTGGAGGAGATCGCTTTTAGCGATAAGACCGCCTATTGTAGAATTATGCCTGGCTGTTTTTCAATGTTAATTGTATTTTAGTGTGCAATAAAGCTAACTCTCTCTTTAACACGTGAACCAAAAAGAAATTAGTTCCACACGCCATACATTTGATAACGCCATTTTGTTGTGTCTTTAAAGCGGTTAGTTGCCCTCAATTAAGACAAATAGTATTATTATTCGCTAATAGATGTCGGGAAGAGTTGATTATTGAAAACACGAATAAAACAACCTTTTTTGAAAATAAATCGTAGCTAGATCGATTTATCGCCCCCGAAATCCCCTGTATACAAAATTTTATGAAAATCGTTGGAGCCGTTATATATATATATATATATATATATATATATATATATATATATATATTAATATACAAGGATTGCTCGTTTAAAGGTATAAGATATTTTTTATGAGAGAAGGATTACAGGTGGTCAGTAAGCGTTTCCAGTTTCACCAGGACAGGCAGCTGCTTAGCGAATGAATCTACTAGCGGATCGGAATCGCGACCCGCAGAGATCGTCGAGAAAATTGCGGGCTGATCTATGGGTTGGATTGCACGTCGAACTCTTTGTCGAGTTCGACGAGTATCAGTCCTTAAGTCACTTGACCGCACTTGACAAAGCACTTGACCGCTTGACCTCGAAAACAATGTTCACAGTAGAAAAATGACGACGATTTATGACGTCGTTACCCTAGGATACAACTTAGGTACTCTCATCCAAAGCGGAACGAACACTAAGAGCACTGAACACTGCGGGTAGTAGTATATTTTTAAATATTAAGTGTAATAACTGCAATTCTTTTCCTACTTTTTCTAGTAACCTTGAGGGGTCATACTAGATTCGTCGAACGAGTAGGTGAGTTCACGGGGCTCTAATCTGGTGACGTTTCTAACACTATTCCTAGCGACTCACTGAGAAGATCCGTGTGCTTAATGCGAGTTTTTTAACGTTTTCGATAGTGTAAAAGTATATGTGTATGGAATGGGATCGTTTGCCTACGTTTGGCGCTAGGGGCGCTGTTCCAACTGCATACAAAATTGGGCAAACTTTTACGCTGTCGAGAACGTTAAGAAACTCGCACTAAGCACACCAGCGAGAAACTTAGTGGGCTGTGTCTGTGGGTTAATTTACTCGCCGAACCTTTGGTTTGGAACAGTGGCCGGCTATGCAGTATAATTCCGAAATTGGTATACTAAGCGCGCTGTAGCATGATGCGGGTGACAGTTGCCTGTATGACGTTGACAACTGTCAGTACCACAGGACTAGGAATGTGACGTTTAGCTTGATCTTCTCAGTGGGTCGCTATTCCGATCCGATCCGGTAGTAGATTCATTCGCGAAGCAATTGCTCTTGAGTTGTTGGGTCTCCTTCGGAGGCGCTCGGGCAGTTGTTAGCAAATCCCACTCCCCCTGGCTAAGCCTTTGCTCGCCCACCTGACCTGGTGAAGCTGTAAAGGCCTCCGGGCCACCAATAATCTTTCAATCATAGAAAAAAAAACGTTTAGCAATTCATTTTTATCGCTGACGATGCTCGCAGCATAATATAAATCTATATTTATTTAATGTTGTTATGAAAATTAGTTTAAAAAGCAAATTATTATTTAATTGGTATTTATGAGGAGTCTCTGTTATCGCGGATGTACTAATGCGTAGTTTCTAGAGATGAAGCCTTTATCGACTATGGTCTATGCAATATTTCAAATCTTAAAATATTAGGTAATCACATAGTCCTATATAGTAAGGACACGACATATTGTTCTATACCTACAATTGCTTATATAAATAGCACCCATTTTGAAGGCACACACATAAACATATATCTATCTCGTTCTTACTCATTACTGTAACTCGCTAGAAAACAATATAACAGTATTTCAGTGCGTACATAAAGTGAAACATGTTTTTTTTATTTATTGCTTAGATGTGTGGACGAGCTCACAGCCCACCTTGTGTTAAGTGGTTACTGGAGCCCATAGACATCTACAACGTAAATGCGCCACACACCTTGAGATATAGTTCTAAGGTATCAGTATTGTCACAACGACTGCCCCACTCTTCAAACCGAAACGCATTACTGCTTCACGGCAGAAATAGGCGGGGGGGTGGTACCTACCCGTGCGGACTCACAAGAGGTCCTACCATCAGTAATAACGCAAATTATAATTTTGCGGGTTTGATTTTTATTACACGATGTTATTCCTTCACCGTGGAAGTCAATCGTGAACATTTGTTAAGTACGTATTTCATTAGAAAAATTGGTACCCGCCTGCGGGATTCGAACACCGTTGCATCGCTCGATGCGAATGCAGCGGACGTCTTATCCTTTAGGCCACGACGACTTCAGAATATGAATATACGTAAATGTCCACTGAAGTAGGAAACCTATGGAAATGAAACGTCAACCAAAAATTCGTGCCACTGTGACGTCATCTGACCACAAAACATGGCGGTTTTAGTGCTGTACAAAAGATTTCAATGTTATCAGGTTTTATTGATAAACGTTCTTGGCTCATTTTATTTTAAATATTGTTGAGTATTATTTATTTGTAGAATTTATACTTTAATGGGAAGTAAGTAGGTATATTGTTATGTGCAAATATGATATGATTTAGATGGGTGAAATCTAAGACAAGTTCGTCCTTCGAATTTGCCAAGTAAACGATATGATGATTTTTAAAAGTTGTACACTGAATTTATAAAGTTGTCGTTTGTCGCAAAACATAAAGATATGGCGTAGTNCGCGAAGCAATTGCTCTTGAGTTGTTGGGTCTCCTTCAGAGGCTTAATGGTAGTTTTCCAATTACAGAGCATAATGCGACTCAATCACGCACAATGCCGAATTATGCTGAAGCTTAGTTGAGCATTATGCCGCATAATGCGCTCTTAAGCTGTAATTGGAAAACGGCCATATTGTTCTATACGTACAATTGCTTATATAGCACCCATTTTGAAGGCACACACATAAACATATATCTATCTCGTTCTTACTCGACACTGTAACTCGCAAGAAAACAATATAACAGTATTTCAGTGCGTACATAAAGCGAAACATGAATATACGTAAATGTCTAATGAGGCCGAAAATCAAATCAAATCAAATCAAAAAAGTTTTATTCAACATAAATGAAAGTACATACTTGTTGAACGGCAAAAGAACTACCGCCAATTCACAAGAATTAGCCTCCGTCCTGAGAAGAATTGGCAAGAAACTCAGCTGGCATGTCTTTTTTTTTTTTTTTTTATTAATTTTTTTTTTAATATTAGATTTTTTTAAATATTCATTTTTACAATAAGTAATTATAACATAACAATTTTACAATATTGAAATGCCCGGAGCGAGCAACTCATTCCCACTTTGTGCAATCTTCTAGATAAACATTGACTTTATAGTAAGCTTTATTGCACAGATGTTCTTTAATAGTTTTCTTAAACCTATGTATATGTAGGTTCTGAACATCTTGTGGGATTTTGTTGTACAGGCGCACAGACAAACACCCGATTGAATTTCGTATCTTATGTAACCTACTCATCGGCACAATAAGCTTGTGTTTGTTCCTAGTATTTCTATTATGTATGTCCGACATTTTAGGAAACTCCTCAATATGTTTACGAACATACATCAAATTTTCAAAGATATACTGGGATGGCATAGTGAGAACTTTAATTTCTTTAAAGGAGACGGAAAATCGTGGGCCAAAAATGTAATAACTTGGAATGTAGTCTAAAAAATTTGTCATATTTTTTTATATAAGAATATAAAAAATCACCTCAATCCTCTTTCTGGGACCGGAGAAAAATGGGAAAGTTAGTTTTTGTCGGTATAACGGTGTGATCGATTTAATTAATCGATTACAGGATTATAAAAAGAAAAACATGGCACTAGGTAATTAATGCAAAGTAATTAAATGAGCGATTTATACTTGTTGTATACAAGTGCGGTATGCGCCGGATTTAATTGCGATTATATACATAAAAGAAGAAAAAGTCTATTATTACGTATCTATCGGGCTGTTTTTATATTTTCAATGATCACTGCTTTATTATTACGAATTCCAACTCTGCCAGCCTTGTACGACAATTGCTTCTACACTGGACACCGAAGATCGCTCACACATTTGACTTGAAATTGTTGCATTGGATACTGTTGAAATTATGGATCGCTGTGTGAATTGTGGGATAGCAATTCCATATTCCATACCTGATATATATCATTGATATTCATTCATAATATGACATTTAAAAGATTATTCAATGGATATAATAAACATTTACTTATGCTTAAATAAGTTATTATTCAGCTCGTTTAAAGAGATTGTAACATAACCTAACTTTTACTAAATCTTTATTAACTCGGCTCTCAGATTGAGAAAACCTTTATAATTTTCAGCAAGGTACTGATACATCTGAATCTATTAATTCATATTAGTTTCATCACGTTACATTCGGGCCCAAAAATGTATGTAATCGTTTCAGTCTCCTTTCTCCCTCAGGGATTCCCTTGAGTGCATGTTATAAATAGCACTTATAGCTCTTTTCTGCAGAATAAGAATCATTTCTACATCGGCCGCATTGCTCCATAGCAAAATGCCATAGGACATGACACTGTGGAAGTAACTAAAGTAAACTAAACGAGCCGTGTCCGCATTTGTTAACATTCTAATTTTTTTTACTGCGTATGCTGCAGAGCTGAGCTTACTCGCCAATTTATGAATATGAGGTCCCCACTGCAGTTTGGAGTTCACTGTTATACCAAGAAATACGGTTGACTCAACAAGCTCCAATGATTCCTCAGAAACAATTACATTACTATCTACTTGTCTCACATTTAAAGATGGTTTAATACATTTTAAAGTAAATTTAATACATTTCGTTTTCTTACTATTAAATAACAGGTTATTGATACGGAACCAATGAACCACACACGAAATCGCATCATTCACTTCGTCATAGACTTGTAATTGTCGTTTAATTTTAAATAATAAAGATGTATCATCTGCGAATAATACGACCTCGTGTCGGGACTCAATAAAACTAGGCAAATCGTTTATATATATTAGAAATAAAAAAGGACCCAAAATGGAACCCTGAGGTACACCCATTTTCAACGTGGTGCCTGAAGATCTATTTCCTTTCACATCTACTGTTTGTATCCTTCCTGATAAATAGGAAGTAATAAGTTCCAATGCACCATCCCTAATACCATAGTGATGTAGTTTCCTCACCAATGTTTCATGTTCAACACAGTCAAATGCTTTGGATAAGTCA